GTTCCTATGGTGGCTAGTTTTGAAGTATCGGAATTCTCCATTGTCGATCACGGGCTGTGCAGACTCTCGCGCTATCGGAGAAGAACAATGCTTTGCGGCTCTGCGAACGGCTCCGCTGTCCAACCATTGTGCGTAAGTGAAGTTTGATAACTCTGTATCGCGTTTCAGAAAATTTCTAATATTGGAGTTATCTAATTTTTCTAATATTAGCAAAGATCCAACGGTAGAATTGCACTGATTTCTTATATCTGATCGCATTTGTTATTGCGAAGTTTCCATAGAGTAGAGATATTCCTTACCAGGATTAAGTTGGCTTACTAGGTATTTATTCCACATTCTAATATACAGCAAAAATGTTCCTGCGAATGCATTTCACAGGTATCTTCCTTTAGAATGCGCGTTTCTTTAAGCTGGATATGAGCGGAAGATGACTTACAATTACTGTTCCTCTGGTCTCCATGGTTAACGAAACGTTCGCACTGTTATTTGCATCGGCTGCAAATCGTCAGTCATAAAAAAGTAATTTCTTTACCTTCAACAACCACGCGGGGTGTACGATTCAGCCTCGACGTCATTTCTGAATTTACAGCCAACGATATTAAGTGTGTCGATGATTATCGATGCTAGTTCGATCGAAACCTTAGTTCTCCAAATTAGAAAAATATTATATTTACGTCATCATTTTTCTGACAGTTAAGTTAGGAAGGAATTTCTTTTTTAGTCATGCGTTGTGCGGCATCGACAACGGTTTTCGTCTTTATTTATGACAGCGTTAATCGAGGTTTTCCTCTAGTAGAACACAACAGCATTCAAATGAGTCTTGAAGCGATAAACAACTCATGGATGGTGACTGCAGTCTGCAAATGCATTTTTACTGTGCAGCTGCTCCATGACTCTTGAGTTTTAAAGAGCTCAATATTAATATAACTATCGTTATTTACTCAATAACCATTCAGTATCATCTTGGCATTCTGTACCAAAGCTTCTTGTGATGTACGCAAATATAAAACGGTCTCTGACTCTAGACAGCTTCAGCGGGACAGCCGCTGTTCTGCCCGATGACCGATGCGGGACAAGTGGGAATGCAGAAAACCGTTCTTGCTGGCATCTCCTCTGGCCATAATTGCGAGGGCGAATTGCGTTTCATCAACTTGTATATGAAAGCTGCTGTGCACATCGATTGGGCAAAAAAGGCAGTCAATGTTTTGGACAATGTCAAACCCGGAGCGTATAGCCTCACAGAAGATCGGCGATTGTACGACTTAAAAGAAAAAGTAAATCAAGCGTTTAAGAGCATGAGTCGTGAAACGATCCGTGCCGATATTTTCAGGAGAAGCCCCCTTCGTGCCGTTGGCCATCGGACTTCATTGACGGCAGAGATAATGCGCCTGCTGATGGGTCGCTGCTCGATGTTCATTCGCATGGCATTGTTGGATTTGGCGTTTACGTGAAGGTTGACAATTTCACCAAACACGAACATATCGTCGTGGCTCCTGCACATCTATTTAAAAGATAAGTGATATTTGCGCTGCCATAATCTTTACGAAAATTTTCCACTGTTTTTCCTTGTATGAACCACTGACTCCTTGCTTTTGAGTGAAGTACTTCAACATAGTCTCTTTTCTGTTCATAGGTCATGGGAAAAGGCAATGAAACTGTAAGAGAAAAAAGAAAGGACGAAACCGAAAAATATGAAATCACTGTTACGGTGATGAATCCTCGAGAGGGAATAGAAAAACGTAGAACGACGAATAGCGCTTTAATAGAATAGAATCTAGCAGAAACCAGATAGATTTGAGTAGATAATCAAAAAAAACGAAGAACTGCCAAATCTATTAAAAGATGAAGGAGAAAATGAAGTAAAGAAGGTGGTTTTCTTCAAGGA